AGCAAACTCAAGCCTGTTAGCTGTGTGTTTCAGTAGACTTGATTAAAGACAAGCTGCACTTGGATTTTAATCCAATAGACTTCCTTTAACTAAACTACTTCATTTCAACATCTGCAAGGAACATATTAACTACACGAATGTTAACATTCCTCATGTTTTTCAAAAGTCGCTTTTGCATCATGGCAGATACTTCTCTTTCAGATGTTCCAAGAAATGTAAAAAAGTAATGAGAAGATGCCATCTGAGTAAAGGTTTAGTGCCAATGCCTTATTTAGGACATCAGATTTATGTTTCTCACAATTTTGTAACTCTCTATCTGCATTAAAAGGAAACAGCAATGAACTAGCAGTGAGGAAACACTGAAACAGAACATGAATTATTTTAAACATGAATACATTTCTTATGCTACACCTTTTCCACTTCTAAGTATTTTCAAAATTCAGGTTGTGGAAGAAGATAGAAAGTGTACCAGCAGCTATTAGTTAGTTCTCTATTGGTCTGAAATCACATTCAATTTGTAGCTGTCAGCCCACAGCTCTACACTGACATTTAATGTACATCTGCATTCTGATTCATTAAGTTCTTTAGTATCTTTACCAGAACACTTGGAATATTGATAGTTCCCAGGACTGGAGACACAGGAAGCAGTTGTACAAAGGACCTTAAACTGAGCTCCTAACACTTAATTCTAGCACATGCACTGAATTTGAATCATAAAATTGTGGATAAGCATCACAGCTGATAACTATTCTCAAATTTTAAAGCCATTTCAAAGCCAAAATTTAAGACGTGGCTTCACAAAAAAGAAACCAAAATTCTTTCCCCACAGATATCTAAATGGTATTGCTAAATTTGTAAAATATTAACTGAAGTCTGTAGAATTATTTTTCTCTTTCAGTCTTTCAAAACAATCTTGAAACATGAAATAGGACTCCTGTCAACATTTTTGATCAATAACAGATTCATCAGTTTGTATCCTGAAGGCCATTGGGTTTTGACTCCATTTCTTTGCGACTTGTGCAAGTCAATGCTGCCATTCAGTACACACAAAGGAAAAAAAAAAAAAGTCTGCTTCTTACAGTTCCAAGATTTAAAACAGATCAGCTACTTTCTCAGGTCACATCTATCAGATATCCTACATTTTGGAAACACCCTGGCAAATAACATAGAATTGAAGGCCACAATGGAACTTCTTTAAATTAGGTTGCCAAAAGGCATGTAAAATATAATTGCGACTTAATCCCACCTACACTGAAAACAGTTTATTCCAGAACCAGATCTACTGTATATCCCTAGACCAGACTGGAAGGATTCGACTTATGCAAGCTTTTAGTTTTTTCCTCCGCTGCAGACAACTGTACAAGTGTAATATACTTAATCTGTAAAAATATTAATTCCTAAATTTCCGGACAGAAGTAAAGTGGCACAAATGAAAGTGGAACACCACAAGGTCACCAGGTGTTAAAACCCATAGTCGCACAAACCCAACAAAGGAACCTGTCACTGGATCCATCTAGGTGTATCGACCACACAAATTTGATCCCCTCTACAAAAACTAAACTTTGAAAAGCTGACCGTATCTCAAGTGTTCATGGCACCAGACATACTGCTCGCGATCGATACAGAATACTCTAAAAGCGTGCCTCTACCTCCCGCCTTTGCACCCTCTCTCAACACTGTATTATAAAACTTCAACCACACCCACCTATGATGTCACTGCCATTACACAACCTGTCCCCCTCCATGCCTGTCTGCTTATGCAACTGGGCCCAGCCTGCTGGGAATTGTCTTGGTGACACTTAAGACTGTGAAAATAGGTCTGTCTCGGGAAACAAGGTTAAAGACGGCAATAGAGTTCCTCTTGTCTGCGCACAGCGATTACCAAATTACAAAACAAAGCCCACAAACTCTTCTGTAAAAAAGTCCCACGAAAGCATATGGGGGGGGAAAAAAAAAAGGAAACATGAAGCAGCCCCGGCTGGACGCTTCTCCATGCCTCTGAAGCGCACCCCGCTACCAGGCTCGACGCTCAGCTGAGGTCCCAACAGCTACGCGTCCCGTAACGGGTCCCTCCGCTCCACCAGACTGCCGGGAGGTTCCTTGAATCCTCTCAGCAAACTCGAGAACAACTTTGGGTGTTCTTTACCGGTCCG